AAAAGCACCCTGTGTCATTCCCTGTATAATCACCCTGTGTCATTCCCTGTAAAAGTACACTGTGTCATTCCCTATATAATCACCCTGTGTCATTCCCTGTATAATCACCCTGTGTCATTCCCTGTATAATCACCCTGTGTCATTCCCTGTAAAAGTACCCTGTGTCATTCCCTGTAAAAGTACACTGTGTCATTCCCTATATAATCACCCTGTGTCATTCCCTGTATAATCACCCTGTGTCATTCCCTGTATAATCACCCTGTGTCATTCCCTGTAAAAGTACCCTGTGTCATTCCCTGCATGATTACCCTGTGTCATTCCCTGTATAATCACCCTGTATCATTCCCTGTAAAAGTACCCTGTGTCATTCCCTGTAAAAGTACACTGTGTCATTCCCTATATAATCACCCTGTGTCATTCCCTGTATAATCACCCTGTGTCATTCCCTGTATAATCACCCTGTGTCATTCCCTGTAAAAGCACCCTGTGTCATTCCCTGCATAATTACCCTGTGTCATTCCCTGTATAATCACCCTGTGTCATTCCCTGTATAATCACCCTGTGTCATTCCCTGCATAATCACCCTGTGCCATTCCCTGTATAATCACCCTGTGTCATTCCCTGTAAAAGCACCCTGTGTCATTCCCTGCATAATTACCCTGTGTCATTCCCTGTATAATCACCCTGTGACATTCCCTGTAAAAGCACCCTGTGTCATTCCCTGTAAAAGCACCCTGTGTCATTCCCTGTATAATCACCCTGTGTCATTCCCTGTAAAAGCCTGTGTCATTCCCTGTAAAAGCCTGTGTCATTCCCTATATAATTACTCTGTGTCATTCCCTGTAAAAGCCTGTGTCATTCCCTATATAATTACTCTGTGTCATTCCCTGTAAAAGCCTGTGTCATTCCCTATATAATCACCCTATGTCATTCCCTGTAAAAGCCTGTGTCATTCCCTATATAATTACTCTGTGTCATTCCCTGTAAAAGCCTGTGTCATTCCCTATATAATCACCCTATGTCATTCCCTGTAAAAGCCTGTGTCATTCCCTGTATAATTAATCTGTGTCATTCTAGATTATGTTGTAAACGACTATCACTTCTGGGTCGGTGGCTATAGGGTCGGGTCTTCGTGGCGCTGGTTGAATGGTGATGAACTTAGTATTCATTCTTCGCTGTAAGTATAAATCTGGTTTATTTCGTTTCGTTTCATTTCTTTTCCTTTCTTTCCCTATTATCTAAAATATATATCTTCTTCACTTTCGCTATCTAATTATTGTTATGATTTTGATATTAAGATTGTTTATATCATTCGCTTTTTGTCAAGGACATGAAACATATCACTATCTTTTTCACTATCACTATTATCAAGAATGTTTCGTTTTGAACATCGCATTAATATATTTTTTTTCTTTCTAGTTCATCTGCAGTTTAGTTAACTTCAATGTTATTGTTTCTAATGACAATGTAATAGTTTATTCACCTTGCAAATAATATACGTTATGAATCTTTTTGTAAGGCATGGTATACCCTTCTTTTATTTATTATATTGTCGATTTTTGTTCTTTCACGTCGATATTTATATTTAATGCTAATATTTCCGTGTTATTTTTATTTGTCATTTCATTTACTGCTAATTAATGAGATTCAATTATCATGTTGCAATTTAGTCGTCTACAACAATTCTTGTTCCTTCTCTTTTTTCCTCTTCCTCCTCTTCCTCCTCCTCTCCCTCTTCTTCTCCTTCATCTCCTCCCCCTCTTCTTCCTTCTAGTCTTTCTCTTACTCTTTATCTTCCGCATCATTCTCCTCTTCTTCCTTCCTTCCTCCTTCCGTTCCTCCAACCTTCCCTTTTGGTCTCTCCCTCCCCCTCACCTCGTACGCCCCTTCCTCCCCGTCCGCTCCTCCTCCCTCCTACCTTGTAATTATTACTCCTCTTCCACTTCTATTCTCCTCTTTCCTTCCTCTTCTTTTCCTTTCTCTCCTCCTTTCTTTCTCCGCCACTTCCACTTTTCCTCCTTCCTCTCCCTCTCCACCTTCTCCATCTCTTCCCCTCTCTTCCTCCCCTTTTCCCTCCTCCCTCCTATCTCCTATTCCTCCAAAAAATCCCCTTTACCTCTTTCTCCTCCTTCTCCACTTCTTCCACCTCCTCCCCGCCTCCTCTTCCTTCTCTCTCTCCCTCCCATTACTCATCCCCTCTCTTCCTTCTTCCTTCCAGATGGGGTCCCACCGTGGTCTCTTCATCCTCCTCCTCCTCCTCCTCCTCCTCCTCCTCCTCCTCCTCCTCCTCCTCCTCTTCCTCCTCCTCCGCCCCCCTCTACACCCACCTGATGCCCGCCGACACCCGCCACCCGCGCCGCTACCTCCGAGTGGGCGGAGCCGACAGCAACGCCCCCGCCTACATCTGCCAGGCACCGCCCATCTGACAGGCAAGGATGGTATCTTGGCAGTCACCGGAGTGTTAGAAAGTTTATTAAATGTTGTGTCATTTGTTTTTTCCCTCAGTTCGTTTTGTGTCATCCCTTAGATAGGCTTTCTGCGTTCGCTTTAAATCTTTGGAAGAACGAAAAGAAATCTCTATATATATATACACACAGTTTGTTCGAGATTTACTGACATTTTCTTTGTTTTGTTTTGTTTTATGCTGCGTAATTCATACTTCATATAGATCTAATGTGTATGTGTGTTCGTTTGTGTTTTTGTATGTGCGTGTTTTCGTATGTGTGTGTGTGTGTGTGTGTGTGTGTGTGTGTGTGTGTGTGTGTGTGTGTGTGTATGTATGTATGTGTGTGTATGTGAGTGCGTTCGTGCGCGCGTGCGTGTGTATGCGTGTGTGAACCTGTTCATATGTACTCTCCATGTCTGGGTTTCAGGCAACGTGTTCGAAGAAAGTCAAAGCATAACATATTTTCCGATTCTCACATGGAAGACAGTGAAAGACGGAAGACGAATATCATAAAATAATAATAATAATAATAATGACAGTAATAATAATAATAACAATAATAATAATAATAATAATAATAATAATAATAATAATAATAATAATAATAATAATGACAATGATAATGAAAATACACGTAAGAACACCATACACCAACATTCAACATCAAAAGCAACCAACAACGAAAACAAAACAGGATGAAAACAACTTTCAAAAATAAAATTTTAAAAAATGAAACAAAACAACAACGAAAACAAAACAGGAGGAATACCACTTTCAAAAAGAAAAAGATCATGAAAGATAAAACAAAACAACAACGAAAACAAAACAGGCTGAAAACAAACAAAAAAGAAAAAGATCTTAAAAATTAAAACAAAACAAAACCAAAAAGTATTAGCCAGCGTGACCTGATCAGAGAACAGTGACGTCATCAAGGCGGAAACTCAACAGAACTCGTTTCTCGTCGACGTTCCCCGCCTGCCCCCCCCCCCCACCCCCCAGCCCGCCAAAGGTTACGAGAATGTTACCCTTTCAAGATCAAGTTCACAAGTGACAGGGAGAGCAAGGTGGCTGGAGGCGGCGAGACATGAACTGCTTTATGACTAGGCATGTGGCAGCTGTTGCGTCATGTTGTCAAGCGGGTTTCTGTGTGCATTGAGGGGGGGGGGGGGCGCATAGTTTTGGTGTTTGTCGTATTTGTCGTTGTAATTGCTGTTACAAATTTACAAACTTACAAATGATTACCACAGAAAACGGGACAGGTTATAAATGACTATCATAGAAAACGGGAAAGGTTACAAGTGACAACCATAGAAAACGGAACAGGTTACAAATGTTAACCACAGAAAACTTACTAGGTTACTAATGAAACCCCATGATAACCACCGAAAACGGGACAGGGTTACTAAGAACAACCCAAAGAAAACGGGACAGCTTTCCAATGATAACCATAGAAAACAGAACAGGTTACTAATAACAATCACAGAAAACGGGTTCAGGTTACAAGCGGCAACTATAGAAAACGGGACAGGTAAATACACACAAAATTCTAACCTCCCTCAGTAAGAAAGAGAAAGCTGCCTGGTTCCCGGAGGTCGAGTGAGAGCATCGGCCTGGAAAATATGCTTTGCAGCTTAATAGGAGAACCAGTAAATACAAGGGCCGGTTCTGTGTACTACGTTATTTGTTATGATCAAGCCATGAAGGTCTGTGGTGTAATGCCGCGGGTGTGTGTGAGAGAGAGAGAGAGAGAGAAAGCATTTCCATGTGTCTGTGAGTGTGGTGTGTGTATGAGTGAGCGTGTGTGTAATACACACACACAGATACATATATGCATATATATACATATATATATATATATATATATATATATATATATATATATATATATATATATATATATATATATATATACATAGATATACGTCCATATATATATATATATATATATATATATATATATATATATATATATATATATATATATATATATATGTATGTATGTGTATCCATATATATACCTATATATAATTATTACTATTATCATAGTGATGAAAATGGCAAAGATAATACTAATAATGATAGTAATGATAATGATACTACAACTAATAATAATAAAAAAAATATGATAATAGTAATGATAATAAGAATAATGTTAATAACACTAGTAATGATAATAATTATGATAATGCTATTAATAGTAGCAATGGTAATACTAATAAAAATAACAGAAATAACAATAACATCAAGAATATTAACAGTAATTATAATGATGATATTAATAATGATAATAAAAAGGATAAAAACGATTATAAAAATAACATTGATAATAATAACAATAATGATAATAATAATAATGATAATAATAATAACAATAATAATAATAATAACAACAACAACAATAATAATAATGATAATGAAAATGATAACAACAATAGTAATAATAAATATAATAATAATGATAATTATGATAGTGATAATGGTAATCATGATAATAATAATGATAATGGTGGTAATAATCATAAGAGTAAGAATGGTAATAAAAATAGTAATGATA